GTCCTGGCTCTGAGGACTACTGTTCATTTTGCTTTAATCCATCCTTGTGCTGATTACATAATCATGCTGCCTCTTGCATGCTTCCCTGGTCCCATCTTGTGTTGTTTTCTACATCATGGCCCAGTTTTAACAAGAAGGGTGGAATACATCCTCATCCCAGTCCTGCCTAAAAAGCCTGATAACTAGGCAAGATATAAGGCCTGATATTTCCTTCTGAGAAATAGGAAATATAGGTTTGAATCCCCTCAGTCCAAATGGGGGACCTAGAACCCAGTCCCCTACTTCCTGAGTGTCCTAACAACAAGACAGGCACTGCTTCCTTTCTATTCCACCCCAACTGTTACTGAATGGAAATAGCCTTGGGTACTGAACTCAAAGCTAATATTGTTAGAAATGATCAGAACACACCTACTAGACTGCGCCCCTCATGGGACTCTAGCACAAAAAAAGTCTTAGCTTATGAATCAATTAAGTAGGAGTGCACCAATATATCGGCTGACTATCAGATCAGCACCAATAAAAGGAGAAATGATGCTACTGGCTATCAGCATTTTTTGGTTGTTAAAGCCGATAATTATGGGTGCATGCTGGGGGGGGCACGCTGGCAAACATAGTCTGGTCCCTGTGCCCTGCCACCAGCCCAAGCCCATAGCAGATTACAGGTCCCAATGAGCACTGGGAGGGAGCAAGGGCACTGGGTAAGAGTCACAGGGTGCTCGCTCAGCAACAGAGACCATTACTGGTTCCTGCTGTTGCTGCTGCCATGGCAACATCACATGCACAGCAGAGGTCTAAGCACCAGGGCTGCTGCTGCAGAGACAGACTGTGTGGGGCCAGGTAAGGTGCCACACAACGGACATTCTGCTCCACCAGATGCCTTTGCAAAAGTAGCTTCTCCGTGGCGGCTGCATGAGCTTGGCTACATGGGGCCTGCCGGCGCTGACATGGTGGCATGCTCTGGGGCTCCAAGGGTGCCTGGTGCCACTGTCCACCTGGGAGTCTACCCCACTGATCCAGGATGGCAGCACAGGCTGCACAGGGAGCATGGCTGCAGGTAGGAACCATGGGCAAGGGGGCAATGTGCATGGGAATAAGGCAGTTACCGCCTTCCTTATCAAGGGCTGGAGCAGGCAGGAGGCACATATGTGTGTGTTATAGAAGCAAAATAAACAAAAATAAGATTTAGGTTGGTAGTTGTTGGGCTGCACGAGGCAGGCAGCAGTAGTGAACGGACCCTCAGCACGGATCTCTGCTCCCTGCAGAGCCAGGTCACGTGGCAGGGCAGTGCTGGTCCCTGCTGAGCGACCTGGCTCCGCCACGGCCTGCCTTGCGCTGCCCCAGCAATGTGGGGCAGGCAGTGGCGGTGAGGAGACCCTGGCACAGATCTCTGCTCCCTTACAGAGCCGAGCTGCACGGCAGGGACCAGCAGGCTTGCTCGTTATTCTGCGCAGCTTCCCTGCCCTGCGACCCAGCGTGACAAAGATTATAGATCCACGCGGGGGTCTTCTCGCCTGCATGGACAGCAATGGCCCTCCCCTGGATGAGCCACCCACGGCCCCGGCCTGCTCCCCACTGTGGCCCTGCAGCCCCCCACCCCATCCGGCTGGGCAGTAGTACTGTGCAAAGCTTGCAGCCTGTTCGAAACAGATTCGGCAGAGCCAAATCTCTGAAACAGATTTGGCCGAAATGAAACAGGACAGTGATCCGAAACACCAAAACAAATCGCTGTCCTCCGCATCCAAAACTGAATCAAAACACAGCCATTTCGTACAGTCCTAATTAACATGTTAATAAATTGTAAACATGGTATATATTCAGCCAGTTTATGACAATCAAATGGCAAACTAGATGCTAGGGGTCCCTATACACATGCAGCAAGGCTGTTCCAATGTGCTGTAATTACAGCATATCAGAGCAGACATGATTAATCAAGTCTGCTGGAGCGTGGTAATTACCATGCTCCAGCAGACTCCAGCATCTCATGCATCAGCATCCCTGTGTTGAAACATCTTTGTGGCTAGTTTGTATTACATCTTAAATTGGTGTGGCATGTGTCCCAGATTGTCAGGTGCTTCATTGGGGTATGGGGCAGGCCTGGGGATAGGACACTACCCTTCCCTGCCCAATCCCTAGGATCGGGTAGGTGACCAACCTTGGTCCTGAACCTGCCCTGTGCCCCTACACTCAGCTGAGCATTGGGGTGGGAAGAGGGCAGCGCCACATTAAGGACACAGCTGGGACAGGGCAAAGGACAGCCTGGGGTCCTGAATCAGGACTCAGAGCTTTCTTATGTCCTATCTATCTCACCACCCAGCTAAATTAGAAAGCAAGGTGCGAGTAGCTGAATTGAAAAATATAAGATTAAAAAAAAACACAAAACCTGAAAGTGTAGGCTGTTTTAAGTGCCTTGTCCTGTGTCATAATATACATACATATACATACATTCTGCCTCAGAATATATTTCATGGTGCTACTTAAATTTTTGAATTTTACTTCATACTTTCTGAAATAAAAACAATTACAAGATTCTGAGAATGATTCCCCATAAAAATATTGCATGTTACAAATATAACTTCTCTTGTTTGACCTTAAAAATCAAAGGTCACTGAAGATGAAATGACACTATATAATTGAAAAGAGAATATTGGCTTTGGTGAGATCCCCAGATCACCAGCCCTAACCACACTAGATGTAATGTTTTTCCTTTATCGGACCAAGGGTTTGGGTCCCTGTCTTATGGACTCTTCTACTGAGGGTACTCCCCTACACTGGCTGCAGCCAACACCCAATGCCTCTGAAGGCTTAAAAAAACCCCAAACCATGACACACACGGCAGCAGCAAGGGGGGAGAGGAAGAGGGAAATTTCCTCCCAGACCCATGCAGCAATCAGCAACAGTCATATTCAAGTCCCAAGTCATTCAGTGCTTTTGGTTCAGGAGACCTTGGAGAAGATAGGAAATTTTTCCTATAGCTAAAACAGCTTTTTTGTTAATTTATATTTGATAATACAGCACAAATCCTACATTTTTTTTTACACACTGAATCCCTTGTGATTTCAATTAGTTTTTAAGTGTGCAAGAACATAGAATGCTGCCCTGGGCTTGTATAATTATGGTGAGCCAAGACACTTAATAACTTAAAATTTCAATCATGTTGTTAATACATTAAAATCAGTGGATACAATGGATACAGTTGTCCACCTAATTATCCTGTGGTAGAGTCACAGCTTGTACTTTATTTTTTTTTTTTATAAAACTAGCCAAAAAGAAAACTGACTGTTCCAAGGGCCTCAGAAATTATCCCACGATCAATAAGTATGCACCATGTCGAATTTATGTAAAGTTCTGAAATAAATGCTAGAGTATTTGAATAAGTTCTTAAAGAAATGTGATGCCAGGAGGGATGATACATGATTATGAATTTAGAAAATAAAGGAACAAATCAATTTTGTACACAAAGCTGGTACACAAAATTTGCAAACCGCTAAAGAGCCACCATTATCAGCTGTAAGCTCTAACATGTTTCCACCTTGTTTAAATTCACAAATTAAATGCCAAATGTCTGTAAAAATAACCCATATTATAATGGATTCACATACATTTATCCTAGTGACACTATAGTTAATATTCACAATCCATAATACCATCCTTAAATCCTTTAACTGTCTCTTGAGTCTAGCATTTGAATTGTTTTAACATGTTGAGATATTGACTTTGTTAGGATTCTGAATATAAAGTTAACACTGCATGCAGTAGGGACAAATAAAGCAATGATATTACAATTTGTGTTTCTTTTTACTTTTTAGCTAAAGGATGAGACATCAGGCTTCAAATCTTAACTACTAGAAGCAAGCAAGATTATGCAATACCCCAAGTCTGTCAGCATGGCATAGAAACAGACCTGGCTTTTTAGGTAGGCCCAGTAGGTCACTTGGGTCTTTTCCTATGCTCCTAAAGATCCTCTGCTGAATGTCTAGAACTTATCCTATCTTGGCAGGGATTTTTGGGATTTGCAAACTAGGTGTCTTTATGTCTAGGTCCTCCTAGAGCCTAATCAGAGGACAGGCAAACACAAACCAACTGCACTAATTTCAAAAAACAAGACAAAAACACACAAACAGACACATAGACAGAGCAGCTGTGGCCACCTTCATTAAAAATATGGCCAGAGAAGAAAGTGTTAATGTCTTTTTCTCATTAGACTCTGATAATTAGAGTACTCCCAATTCCATAAGGTTTCAAATTGTGATGCTCAGTGCTTGCCTACATTAAACAGCTTCTGCCACTAGGGCTATGCCAACCCAGATGCATCAAGAGTGAAGAGTACCCTAGTGAAGAGGCATTATTTACCAACAAACTTTTTCTGCTCATTACAGTTTTTTGCTACATTACCATTTCAAATGACATAGATTTAACTGACAAAAGCCCTTTTCAGTCAACATAACTGCTTCTACCTTATCAGCTTTACAAAAACAGTGACATTTTCATTCCTCTATGTCAGCAAACTTTCATAACGTAAATTAATCCTTAATTGCTCAGAGCTACACACTGGCACTTAAATCCAGTATCATCACTTGACTAAACTATAGGCACACTTTACCACAGCATTCTCACTGGGCTGGCTCTTGCGAATCCCATTCTTTTGTACCTAACTCACCCTACGATTGTTCAAAAAGAACTTGGGTGCCTAAGTCAATGTTGGAAATTCCACTCCAGGAGCTGGGTGCCTAGAAGTTGGGTACAGTGATTTTGCTTAGGGTTGCAAAGTCTAAATACCTTTGTGCCTTTGAATAACTGAAGTCCTGATTATAATGAAACAATCTCAAAAAACTTAACAAAAGACCAGAAAATTCATCCATTTAAGTTTAGGAAGGCAATATTTGAGATAGTTTGTTGAATATTAATAAATCTGTTCTTTAAAAACATATACATGCATACATACATCTGACCACACCCCTCAATACAAACATATACATATGTGATTATAATCCACTTCTTACCTTTCTCGGTTAAATTTAAGGGAATGCAGTATAGCAGGTCTCTTTTGACGCAAGTTCCATAAGTGTAAGGTGTCATCAGCCAAGGCACTCACAAGAGCTCCCTTTTTAAAAACAAAAAATTAATAAATGTAATTACACATCTAGCTACAGTTCAAGTCTATTATAACTTGGGTAATAACTAGTTTCCACAGACTTGCTTCTAAGTAATATGAATAAAGTAAATTTATAAAAGCAGCAGATCTGACCAGATAATGTAATTAAAATATTTTGCATATGAATATTTATTTATATGTTCAATTAAGTTAGTTAAGTGCTTTGCAATCATTCAAACTGAAGGTTGAGATAGGAAATTTATTCTAATGCTTCAAGGAACATTCAACTTTAAAATGTATTTTTAAAAAGTAAATGAAAGATTAACAAAAACACAAATGACTATTACTTATTGTGACCATATTAAGGTTCTGGATCATAGTATATAAAACACACGATGTGAGATTCTTTGATACAAAGAATACCTAATTACATAAATAGCTGCATATTGCTCCCTTGAAAAAACAGCCTTTGAAGAGTGATTAAGTAAGCCTTTAAAAATAGATTAATTTACTACTTCCTTTTATGAATTCACTTTTAAAATCCTGAAATATTTATAAATATCCCAAGTAGCAGATCTGGCATAATGGCAAAGGGGATGTGGAAGTAGCAGCAAGCTCACTGGAGCATGAGTCTAGCATCCAAAACCAGAACTTTCGTTGGCAAACCAGTGGCAAAGATGGGTACAAATCCACTGCTGCACCCCCCCAGATCTCTCTGAATCTCTCATGTTTGTGATTTTACACCACTACCTTAAGAAAAAAAAATATATTTTTTTTTGCCGTACTGTCCAAAACTGAATATTCTTAGAACCCATAATCAAGAGTTCTGCCTGGAAACGTCTACTTTTTCAATTTATACCTCAGTTTCCTATATTTAACAGCCGATAGAAAATAGTATTACTACTTCTCCATTTGATTTGTTCGTGTGCCAATATTTGAGTTAGCGTTCCTATCTGCATAGGCTATTCAAAACTGGAGAGAAAAAAAATTAACTGTATAACTATAAAAATTAGGAAGGTGTCCCAGGAGCAGGTAGATTATCCCAAATGATCACTTTTTAAAATTACTCTACCATTCAAAATGATACTAAGCCTTTAGAATTAACATTTCCTGCTATCTAACTAGCAACCAATTCATATTAAAAACTCTCCTGTAATGTTTAACCATTTCCTTTCAGAAAATTAACACTATTATAATGTTCACTGTAATAGAACACACAGACAAAACTGGTTTTAGTAGTAAATCACCAGAGGTGCCTTATTTTTAAACTGGAACCAATAGTATTACTAGTATGTTACCATGTTCTAGTAAGCAAATAAAAAAGCAATACGTAGTCTCGCATGTACTTGAAACCTTTTCTTTAAGTAAAAAGAAAGAGAATTGAGGAAATTATGGAAATTCTTCTGCCTTACAGTAGAGATTTAAGTCTTTTTACTAACCTCATTAATCAGGAACTGGAGTTGGATTACTGCAGCTCCACTGTCGTGTTGGCAGTAGCATTCAACTCCTGGCCGACCGAAACTGACATTAGTGGCATTAAGGAATAACATTTGTGTAAAACATAAAATAGAGTAGATAAATGTAGACTTAAAATAGTGCACAGGTCTTAATTAGCTTTGAAATTCAAAGATTAGATTTGAACTTCTATTCCAAATTTAATGAATTTGACAACATATTAATAACCAAAAAGTTTGAAAATGATATACCCATTTGAAAAATGAAGATCCCCACCTTTTTTTTTTTTTTACTTCCTGATTTTTTTTATTCGGGGGGGAAGAGTCATTCTGACTATCCTAATAACAAGCAAAAACAATTAGTTAAACTTTTCATAAATTCAGCTAAGGCAATCTAGGAAAGAGGCAAAGGAAGTCATTCCAAAGGACATATCTCCCCACTTCTGAGGAAAATGTTAAGAACCCTTGTGTTCAACAGATACCTGAAGGGCCTGCTGGTTGGCAGGCATCATGTACATCCTGGACTCTAAGCTATAAGATGGGAAACTCAACTGGCTTCCTTTTCTTTCCTTGAGTGATAAGAAAAATTCCTTTTAAATGCCTTGGACAGCTGTAGGACATTTATTTTATTTTATTAGCTATCTCCACTATCAATTTTACAGCTATAGATGAAGGAAGAAGCTGCAGCAGCACATCTGGACAGAAAAAAACAGGGCAAAAATGCAGGGCAATATTTAAATTAGCATTGTAAAGGACAACACAAGTATTCCTTCAGAGTCTATATATTCACTAGAAAAGTTCTGATTATTCTATTAAGTCTCAGAGGTAAAAAATAAACGTGAACACACTTTAGTGAAAAGAACTTATTCCTGGAGGGGATGAGGACTGTACCATGTAAGTGTTGCTCCCAGCTCCAAAACCTCATGGGAAAATACTGAACTGCCTTTCTTGCCATCCTAGGACTGAGACTGAAAAAAAATCAGTTGATTTTTATTCTCAGTCCTGGGATCTCACCAAAGCCAGTTCAAAACTCTGGTGCAGCACTGCTATCTATATTTAGATTGCAGTACCACACCGGAGTCTTGAACCAGCTCCACTGTGGCCCTAGCACTGTGATCTGGTGTGATCAATATTTAGATCATAGTAAACACTAATGAACAAATGCTCAGAAAACTATAAGCCTATTAAGGCTTACTACAATCTAAATATAACACATGCTTAGCGTAACATGTTCAAAAGCCTCAGGGCCTTGTTAACATGTTTAGAAGCTATGTGGTCTGAGCAACAAGGCACTTAACTTCTCCCTAAGCTCCACTGTGATCCAGATCAGAGCTATGCGGGTGTCTAAATTCTATCCCCAGGGGGCCCATTCTGTTTGGCCACAGAGGCATGCCTAACTCACCTCAACAGCACTGACTCTGATAAAAAGTGTACCACCTACCATTACTTTTACTTAAAAACATAGAACAATAGTCTAGCCATAAGACCACTCAAAGGAGCAGGAGACCTAGATTTTATGTCTTGCTCAGCCTGGGGGTATTCAAACTCTTCTTTCCCACTTCCTAGGAGGGAGCTGTAACTACCAATCTATAAAACAATCTGGGTAGGGTATCCTGTGGGGAAGTGGGTCACTAGGCAGAAGTACAAAAAAACCGCAGGACCGGAAAAAATATTAACAAGAAGGAAGATGCTTCTGTAGCCTCATGATTAGTACATACAGCAAGGGGAAGAAAAACCTGAGTTCTAGTCAATGCTACCAGGGTTATTTTTGGAGGATTTTCCCCCATAACCACTGACTGTCTAATGTAAAATGTATAAAACAGTCCAAGGAATAAAAACCTGGAGAGCTACCTAATGTTCAACTGATCAGATGTCTAAACTACAGAGGAACATGAGTTCAGACATATAACCCAGCCTAGTGTTTCCTACTGGCTAGCTCAGCATCTCAACACTTGGATTCACCTTCAGAAGTGCCAAGCATTCTCTACTGACTTTAGAGCAAGGTTCTCAACCTTTTTCTTACCAGGACCCACTTGCAAAGATCAATGGCTTGTCCTGACCCACAACCCCCTGGCCCTGCCAGTGTGCGACCTACAGTGCCTCGCCCCACCTTCCCTCCCACAGCATCAGTGCCTGGCTAACCAGCCACCTTCTCCCAGTGCTAGCTGGCAGCTCCCCCCCACCCCCAACACACATGCACACATCACCACCCCTACCCTGAAAGTCCCCAAGCCCTGGCCCTCAAACCCCTGCTCCCCATACACTTACCTTCATCCAGCTGTTGGGGCTGCTTCCAACAACCCTGCCTGGCTGCATGCTGGCCACGCCCCAAGCAGCCCCTTGCAGGCTGGAACACTGCCAGCCTGCAAGGGGAGACCAATGCATTCATGTGTTTTTTCTGACATTTGCTTGAAACCCTCTGAAATATTCTTGAGACCCACTTTTGGGTCATGACCCACAGGTTGAGAAACACTGCTCTAGAGGAAGCCTGCTTATCTAACCTAATACAGACATCCACATTGCATAAGGAGTATCTTTTGTTTAGGCATGGTGAAACTGAAAAGAAGGTGTCCATAAGGCCAATCTCAACATAACCAATAGCTGAAAGAGTAGATCTAAAAATGGGGAACTATAATGATTGAAGGCATGGAAATAATTCCATCTATAAAAAAAAAAACAGAATAAAATACAAGACAGAAGGTAAATAAGAGATGTGGTTATGATCCTTGAAATACCCACTAGCAGAGATAAAAAGACACTATTTAATATAAGAAACTGCCCCCTTACTGCCTCCCCCATCACCTGACCCCTACTGCTGCTTGCACTGCTGCAGTTGTGGTGTGAATGAATTTAAGACAGTCCCCCAATAATCAGATTCTTCTATACATGGAAAAATTGTAACATATTTATAAATTTCCCATGTATAGAATCTAATTACAGGGTGGGGGGGGGTGTCAACTTAAATTTAGGGTAGTCTTGGATTCAGGTAAATATGATACATGTATAACTCATCTGAGCCAGTACATCAAACCCTATATTCCTATTTTATCTCATTAGAGGATTCAAACAATACCATGTTAAATGTCCCATCAAAGTTACTTACTTTGAGTCTGTTACAGAAACATATACTACAGTAAGATAAAATGTGTATTTTGGGTTTTTTTCTTGTTCTTGTGCAGCCTTTTTTCCCCCTTTTTTTTTTTTTTTACAATAAGTTTGTCATATTCCCACCATCCTAGTATCTTCATGCTACTCGCAATTGTACGACAAATGAATTTACCTACAATCTCAAAATGTGAATATCTGAAGAAATAGCCAAGAGGTAGGTAGTTATTTCATAAATAGTCATACGGAATGTTTGCTAGCACAGTTGATATATTTTATCCCTTCCAGCAGAAAATACCTCATCCACCTTTTCAATGAATCACAATTAAATGGTCTGTCAGATTCCAACATACTCTTAAATACTGAACTGTATTTGCAGGACAAAACAAAGAGACAAAAAGAGGAATTTAGCTACCAGAGTAAAAGTCTCTCAGTAGCATCCATCCATAATGATAGGTCTTTCAGAGGCAACAATATTTCCCTTTTCCTTAAATGGTTAAGTGCTCACAAAACGTTGTATTGAGAAACAGTGCTTTCATAGCATTTTTCTTTTTAAAAAATTTACTCTAAATTCAGAGGCTGTGCAGGGACAGTGTGTGGGGAAGCAGGGACAGAGTGCCGCTGTCTTCCAAGAACAGGGCTGGGGCAGGGATGCTCAACAGGCTGGGGTGTGGCAGGAGCAGTCACCAAGAGCAAGCTTCCCTAACCCACAGAGGGGTGCCGCTGCCCTCACCCTGCCCTGGCCCTGCTCCTGAGATGTGGCAGTATTCTGTCCCTGCATGCCCGCGCATACCCCCTAGGATCAGTCCAAGTATCCCTAGGGGTACATGTACCTCCAGTTGACAACCCCTGCTCTAAATCGATGAGTATTACACTACAGGTATTACACACAGTGACCTCTAGCTTACAGTTTAACACTGTCTGATAGCAGGGAAAGCAGAGTGGTTGCTAACTTGTTCAGAGGCATGACCTTTTATAGACAAGAACCTACATCATTGGATGCTCACTGGATTAAAGAAAACTCAGAGTTCCTCTTGAAAATAAGAGTTTCTCCTGCCTATTTTCAGACTATGACAAGTTACCACTTCTGTCTTCACTTTGCCCAATAAAAAAAAAACAAAAAACCTTATTTTTTGGAGAAGCTAGCATCACCATGATTTTAAGGAACCATTTTAAATTCAGTGGCAGAGTGGACCTCATTTCAGGACAGTGACTTCTGCAGATTCAGGCCAAATAATAAACTGTAAAAATCACTATTCCAGTTTGACTTCTGACTTGCTATTTAAAACATCAACCTTCCATCCTTACTAATTATGCATCAATTCAGGGTCTTCAACAACTCCTCAGAACTAAACCGCTGGAAAAAAAAAGACAAAATTACAGTGTCTTCCCTTAGCAATAGGCCCTGTAATTGAGGTACCAGACAGAGTTCAGCTTGCTGGTATTGATTCTGCAACATTCATTACTCTTATTATGGACTCAGTTCTCATGAAAGGCAATATAAGTATGGAACAGAATCGAAAACCTGTCCAACATGTAGTAAATTCTTTGCATCATTTCAATGTTGTAAGTGATTCGCTAATGCCTGGTTCATACAGGGTAAAAATCTTTAGCTTAAAGTCGCAAATGCCTGTGCCAACGTGGTGAAGACTTGTAGATCAAACCCTGCTGTTGACTCAAGACTTATGGAAATCATTACAGTTAAATCCAATAGGAATTATTTTTATAGTGAGAACCAAAAATCTAAAAGATAAAAGCCTACATTAAAACATTGAGACTGCAAAACCATACAGACAAATGGTAAATGCAAAAGATAAGATAGAAGCAACTTTGCTTGGATACGTACAGGTCAGTCGCATCATACGCGCATTTAACTTGCACAAATTCAACTATACGCGGCGGGGGGAGGGGCTTGAGCGGCACGCAGCCATCCCCACCACCACCCTGTGCTGAGCCCCCCCC